TAGTGTAAAAAAATGCAACGCATAATAAACCTGTTTTATAAACCTTGATAGAAGCGCTCATGAACATTTTTCTTGTGGCAAACAAGAGTTTATAAGATGTTGTATTTTCATAATCTTTAAGAATTTTTGTTCTACGTTTTTCTCATAGTGTATTTTACATACAGAAGGTGCATCCTTCAACTTGTTTCTAGAACAGATAAAATCATGTGCTGCTACCATTAGTTTGTTTTATTTATGAGTCGAATAGACCCGATATGAGTTCTTCAAGAGAAAAAAGTTGTATCTCTAACGAGGGAACTGCCCGAAGTGATTCACTACTTTTGAGCTCATATGTTAGGCATATAAAGGGGACTTCTAGACCAGAATAATCCTAAAAGAATTCGACCCCTTGGACCTCCGCTACAGATTTATAGCCATTTTACTTCAGCTTTAGGCTACGGCACAGTATGCACATACAAAGAGACTGACAGTAGTTCGACCTGAAATTCTGTCTGCAGATAGGTCTACTTGTAGTTAGAATGTTCTGAAAATTTTAGCTCAAGAGAATGTTTCCTTCGCGAAATGTTGAGTTTTCTAAAATCATTTAGATCTCATAAAAAATGCAAGAATCTCATATTTTATTGATGTTCAACATCTCGTGAAGGAAACATTCTTTTGAGTTAACATTTTTAGGGCATTCTAGTTACGAGTAGACCTATCTGTGGACCAAATTTCAGATCGAAGTATCATCAGTCTCTTTTTTTTGTGCATATCGTGTCCTAGGTTCAAATTAAATTAATATGGCTGTAACTCTGTAGCGGACGCCTATGGGCCCGAATCCTTTTAGAATTATTCTAGTCCAGAGGTCCCCTTTATATGCTGAAAATATGAGCTCAAAAGCGGTGAATTACTTCAGGCAGTTCCCTCGTAAGTTTTTTATTTTGGTGTAGGCTCTCTATTGTAAGTTCAGAATCTTTGCCACTATTCGTTCCTTTATAAACTCGATCCATTTTCGACTAATGCATTTCAAAAAACGTTCCTCATCATGCGTACAGAAGAACAACTTTTCCAAGATACACTGAATATAGACCTATTTTTCTACCTGTTATAATCATTTGACGAAGGCTTTGATTATCTACTTTCTTACTTCACTATTGTTGGAGATTAGATCTAACATCTACGTCACAAGTTGGTTACTCATAAAATATGATGCATAGTGCTATGATGATAAAAGAATTAAAAGTAGAATTTAAAACTCTAAAAGAACTGTATAAGTAATTGATGCTCGTTGAAGTACTCAATTGAATTTTCACATAAAAGCATATCTCATTCTAGAAAGGAATTAGCAACTTTTGTTTGTTATATTCAATCTATTGTATATTATCATGAACGACAACTATATTGATACACTCAATAATGTGATCGGACAGATCACACTGTTTGTACCATATTTCGCTATTATTGTTGGTACATTGGGCGCTCTCTGCAATCTTCTCACGTTCACTGAAAAACAACTACGCAACAATGCGTGCGCTTTCTATTTATTGTGTTCTGCTGCGTTCGATCTTGCCTCGCTCTTATTTGGGGGGGTCACACGGCTTATGATAGAACATTATTCTAGTCTACTTCCAAATAAGTCTTCTTTATTTTGTAAACTACGAATCTATCTTGCAACTCTTATACCAGGTTTGGCAACCTATTGTGTGGCGTTTTCTTCAATCGATCGGTATTTACTGACTTCGAGATCGGCTACTTCTCGTGCGTGGAGTCATATAAAAGTGGCTCGACGTACGGTAGTCACGACTTCACTCATCTGGCTACTGTTCGATTTTCATATTATCGTCTATCATGATGTGCAGATGGTAGGTACTAACAACAATGTTTTCATATGTGTACCTCATGGGGATGTTTACATAGTTTTTGTTAGTGTCTACTTGCTTGTATGTTTCATGCTTATACCCTGTGCAATGATGATCATTTCTAGTATACTGACCTTGATAAATATCAAAATGTCGAGTCTATGGGCTTTTTTATTTCAAACTGAATTCTAAAATCAAAAAAACCGCACCAACTTCTTCCGAATCAAACTTTTCTCGTTTGATACTACGTAGTCCCACTAAAAACCCTTAGTCCCCCCTAGTCCTGCAAAGTCCCCCTTAGTCCCCCCCACAAAAAGCTTAGTCCCCGCTTAGTCCCTTGTGCAGGGGACTAAAGCCTATAGTACACAAAGCCACAAGCACACCCTCACCCTCAGTCGCGCGCCCACACCCGCACCATGGGTGTGGATGTGTGTGTGGGTCCCAGACCAACACCCACACCCTCAGTCACTCCCCCCCTCACTCCTAGACTCACGTTTCAGTTTGAAATCAAGTATTATTTTTATTTGATAAATTCAGACTGAAATTAAATAGCCCATAGTATGAAAATGTCACAGCGTCGCGTGGGAGCTTTACAATTACAACGAGTAACAAACCGTCGCATTGATCACCATCTACTTATAATGATGTTTGTACAAGTTGGTCTGAGTGTGATCTTTCTTTCGTTTCGAATTGGTTCTCTAGCATATGCATTATTGACAAACAAAGTAAAAAAGGACACTCACAGACTTGCAATAGAATCGTTCATAACTCAGCTAAGTTTCGTTGTGTATACCGTCAATTTCTCCAAGTCATTCATCATATACATTGTCACAAGTCGACTATTTCGTAACGTCTTCCGTGAACGCATCATGGGTTTCTATAGAAAAATAAGTACTTTTGTAACAGCTATTTTTTCATAGCTTGAAAGTTTGAAGTAGTTCTTCGCTTGTGGGTACAAGGCTTCAAATCTGTCGATTTCAAAACAAACAGTGAAAGTTGTTTGTATACGAAACCTGCTTCCAAGAGGTACCGTTTAATAAATATTGTTTTTATTTTCTAAATCTTTGTATAAACATTTTCTTTTCCAGATGTAAATGTATTGTTATTCAATCTCTAAAACTAGTTCATCGGTTTCCAATCAATAGCAATATGGATGTACTAACAAGTTAAATGGAAATGCACAAAACTCGTGTTTTATATTCTCCTACATTTTATATCGAAAAAACCGTCTACAAAGTGCTAGTCAACATTGTTGGATACATAAATTCTTTTCAATAGTACATGCCAACTTTGATAAACACGTGTCTTTGATTCTGACCTCTGAAACATGTCATAGTATAGTTATTCGTGTGGCTCCCACTTCATCAGTCTTGATCTACAAAACTGAAAACTTAACTGAAGTTTGGACACAAAAGATCTTCAACAGTACCTACAGGAACAATCCGATGTTGTCTACTACTATTCGCGTGTCAGTTTATGTTCATACTCCTTCGACTGAAGGACAATCATTTGAAATAAAATATGGTTTTAACGATGTATGTAAGTTTGCTTGCATG